TAAAGACATGCCAGAAGGTATTTCTGATTTTGTCGTTGTTCCCTGCTCTTGTTTCTACACATCAGCTCTTTCTGCTAAACAGAAGTCTGAGCACAGCAGCACTCTGAGGCCCTTTGGGGGAAAAGCACAGAATTTGTTCCTGACTCCAGCCTAACCTAAGGGACAATTTAAAATAAGCAAGCAGCTATCTAGTGAGAACCCCTCACATTTCAGACCATAAAGTGGAGGGGACACTTCTGGGAAGGGCAAGGATCACTCAAATGTGACTTTGGCACCTTAAAACCTGTTTACCGATTCACTGAGTTTGCAAAAGAAATAACCCTTTAAAAACCTCCACATATGGACAGGCAGTGGTGGCTTAAGCCTTCAATTCCAGCACTAGGGAGGCAGAGGCAGGCAGATCTCTGAGTTTGAGGCAAGCCTGGTTTACAGAGTGAGTTCCAGGACAGCCAGGGCTACACAGAGAAACCCTGTCTCAAGAAAAACAAAAAACAAAAAACCCAAATATCCTAATAATAATAATAATAGAATAAAGCTTATTCCTGTTGGCTTGGTTCTCTGAGCCACTTCACTTCCTACTAAGATCTGGAATGGAGACTAGGTATGAGTCAATGTTGACTTCTTGTATTCCAGCTCTGTGAAGTGGCCTCAGGTACGCCAGCTGGCCAAGCCCTTACAGATTTGGACTCCATGAAAGCCTTCCATTACCCAAATTAGGTTCAGGAACCATGGTCATATGATCAAGCTATGCAAACAAAGGTGAGAGAGCCTAATTTTCACCCCTTGTTCATCCAGGCAGAAAAGGAAAATCAACGGAGAAACTGATGTTCTTGAAGTTTCAGCAGCCTAGCCTCAAAACAACATTCACTTCCTGATAATTAAGCTGGTCTAGGAACACACAGAGAAGCATCCAAAATAATAATGGGTTTCTGATAGGGCTAATTTTACTACTTATTTTTTAGAGTTTATTTTTATGTGTATGTGTGTTTTGCCTTCACTCTGTGAGTTCATTTGTGCTTGATCCCTGGGAAGCCAGAAGAGTGTTGAATCCCTTGGAGCAGGAGTTACAGGTTGGAAGCCACAGTATGTATTGAGAATAGAACCTGATCCTCTGCAAGAACAAGTGCTCCTACCTACTGAGACATCTCCCCAGCATCAAGAATCACCATCTTTGAGGTTACATTTTTGCCAAGTTTTTTTCTCAAATGATATTTTTTTTCTTTTTGGTTTTTCAAGACAGGGTTTCTCTGTGTAGCCCTTGGTTGTCCTGGAACTCACTCTGTAGACCAGGCTGGCTTTGAACTCACAGAGATCTGCCTGGTTCTGCCTCCCTAGTGCTGGGATTAAAGGCGTGTGCCACTGCTCAGCTTTTTTAAGTGTTCTTAATTGACCAAAACAAGAAGTAGAGGACATTATATCACATCCCAGGGATTTAATTTTATTCTTCTGCAAAATTATGAAGTCTAGAAACCACTGAGCTTCTTAGCATATCACATAGTTTTCCTAGAAAAGCAGCAGTTTCAAACAAGTGGAAATGAGTGTAGATTTGGTAGGCAGATCCCTGTGAGTTCAAAGTCACTCTCATCTACACCTCAAGTTCCATGACAGCCAGGGCTGTTACACAGAGAAAAACTGTTTTGAAAAAACAAAAGACAAACAAATGGCTCCTACAGGCCCATAGGGAGTGGTACTACTAGGAGGCGCGGCCTTGTTGCAGTAGGTGTGGCCTTGTTGGAGGAATAGTATCACTGGGAGTGGATTTTGAGGTTTCAACTGCTAAATCAGTAAGCAGCACTCAGTAAGCAGAGGCAGGTGGATCTCTGAGTTCCAGGGAGGCCAAGGCAACACAGAGAAACCATTTTGGAAAAAACAAAAAATGCTCAAGCCAATTCTGCAGCCTCTCAGCCCCTTGTCCAACACCATCTGCCTGCTTGTTGCCATGTCCGGCCATGCTGATAATAGACTAAACCTCTGAACTGTAAGCCAGACCCAATTAAATGTTCTCTCTTTCATAGGAATTGTCGTGGTCATTAATCTCTTTACAGGAATAGAACCCAAGACAACGGGCAGGGATGGAAGGAGGAAAGAAAGGAAGAGACCCAGGTGAGTGTCAACATTATATGTCTCTGCTGTTATGAGAACAAGCTGTCCTGGAGCACACATTCCTGCTGCCACCATGTTCTTGCCACCAACTCCTGAAAGATGTCCTCTGACTTCCACATATGTACCATAGCATGTGCACATGTGTACCATATGTACCACATATGTACCATAGCATTAGAACACACAGACACACACATGCACAGTCACACACATGCAGACACAGACACACACAAGATGCATTTAGTGTGTGCACATGTGTGTGCTCAGAGGCATGAGTGTGTACATGTGCATGTGGGTGCCAGAAGTCAACTTCAAGTGTCTTCTTTGATTGCTCTGTTATTTCTTGAGGTAAAATCTCTTGCTGGGTCCTAAGGCTCATCAATTAGGTGAGGCTGACTGACTAGCAAGTCCCAGAGATCCACCTGCCTTTATGCCCAACCAGCCAACAATGGATTATAGATGTGCACCTCACATCTCAGTCTTCATACTTGAGTGGCAGACACTTTGCCAAATGAACCATCCTCCCAGCCCCTTCAATGAACATTTTTGGGTTTTTTTATGTTTTTAATTTCAAAGACTATAATAGTTCTTCATTTGAAAAAATGTGGTCTTGACTCTACTTAACTAGTGAGACTATTGGCAGGTCTAGCAAAGTATGTTTCTAAAATAGTTAAAGCCCTCTGTGATTTGTGACATGTAAATACAGATTTTCATAGTGCCAGTCACACATTACAGGTTGTGTATCCTATGTCTGAACTAGTTGGGAATGTTTAAGACTTGAGATATCTGCTAGGCAGTGGTGGTGCACGCCTTTAATCCCAGTATTTGGGAAACAGAGGTAAGCAGATCTCTGTGAATTAAAAAAAAAAACCAACAAAAAGACAAGATATTCTTAGATTGGGAATATGCATATATATGTATACATGTGTACATGTGTACACATGACTGTACACACACAGATACATGCATGCATACACATAAACACACACACAAGATATGTTGGGGACCCTCCAAGTCTAAATAAGATATTCACTTATATTGCACATATGAAATATTAGAAATATTTTCCAAGGGTAATTAAAAAAAATATGGTTATCTTCATTTTGACTATGACCTGCCACAGGAGGTCCATGGTAAATTTTCTCACAAAATTTCATATTCTTGATAATCTACCTTTCTGATTATATCATCTTGACTTGTGTTAATTTCCTAGTAAAAGAGAAGACATTTTCCTGTAAGTAACAGACTAAGCAGTGTTCATTTAACCTCTTTTTTCACAGTACAACTCTCAGATATTCGAAGCCAACAGCCCACATTGATGGTGTTGTACACTTACAATAAAGGTTATGGAAAGCATGATGTGAGCCTACACCATCACCAGTGGTGTCTTTAAATCCCAATGTTTATTATAGCCACACAGCACAAAATAATGTAGTCAATTCAAAAGTTACAAAAAAATTTCAGTATATAGAAATATGATTAAAATAGGACAAAAAAATCACTACAAAAACATTAATCTACTATTTTATAAGTATTAAAAATATACTCAGAAAAAGTAGAAAGATTTGTAATGAATACATTAATATGACTATGTGTGGGTGATATTTTTGTTTTATATCTTCCTGAATTTTCAATAATTCTATTAGAAGTAATGTTTTGTTTTGCTTTTTTGGACTTATTTTTTCAGACAGGATTTTTCCGTGTAGTCCAGATGGGTCTGAAACTCTAGACCCCCTTTTGTTCATCTCTTGAGTTGGATGACTGTGGTGATATTTTGTACTCTACCCATAAAGCTTACCTGAAAATCAGAGGGATGAGCTAGTCATTAGTTAACCATAGAGATCTGAAGTCTGTACAGACAGACAGGAAGTGATAAGGCTGCAGATGGGAGCTTGGTCTCTTTTTTGGTCTGAGAGTCACAGAGGTAAGGTCTCTAGTGGCTGCTGCTCTACTTCTCTGATCTTTCAGTTTTCATCCCCTAATATCTGGCTCTGGGTTTTTTTTTAAAATAATTTTATTATTTTGCTTGCATGCATGTCTGTGAGGGTGTCAGATCTTGGAGTTACAATTATTAGCTGCCATGTGGGTACTGAGAATTGAACCTGAGTCCTCTAGAAAAGCAGTCAGGGGCTGGAGAGAGGTTAAGAGCATTGGTTACATACAGAATAAATAAGTAAATCTAAAAAAAAAAAAAAAAAGCAGTCAGTGCCCTTAACCACTGATCCATCTCTCCAGCCTTGACTTTGGGTATTTATTTATTTATTTATTTATTTATTTATTGATTGATTGATTGATTGATTGATTGTTGAGACAGGGTTTCTCTGTATTGCTTTGGAGGTTATCCTGGAATTCGCTCTGTAAACCAGGTTGGCCTCGAACTCACAGAGATCCACCTGTCTCTACCTCTGAAGTGCTGAGATTAAAAGGGTGAGCCACCAACAGCCGGCTAAGTTTTTATTATTAATATTGAACACAGGTCATCAGACTTGGTGGCAGGTGCCTTTACCCTCTGAGCCATCTCACAGGCCTGACAGTAGCTTTCCATTTTCTTTTTCTTCTTCTACTTCTTCTCTGTCTCTGTCTCTCTCATTTTATTTTTGAAACAAGGTCTTTCTATGCAGTCATGGCTGGCCTGGAACTCACTATATGGACCAGGCTAGCATCTAATTCACAGAGATCCACCTGCCTCTGCCTCCCAAGTGCTGGGACTAAAGGTGTGCCACCACCGCCCAGCCTCAGTAGCTATTTTTAAGATAAAAAGCGACAAACTATTATATCAACATGTAACAATGAACAATGGATCTGTATTTCCACAATGGATCATCTCTGATCTGAATTGTACTTATATATGAATGTGCCTTCCTTGCACAGTGTTGGTGGAGTCTAGGAATGCTCACCTCCCCGACTGTCTGTAGGTTATAGCAGATGCTGTCCTTGTGGGTTGCTGAAGTTCCATAGAGAAGGGTCTTTATGAGCCAGCAAATTCCCAGGAGCAGGTCAGAAAAGCTCAGGCAAAAGAGTGGTTTCATCTGTCAAAAGCCACAATTCTTAATTCAGTAAATGATCTAGCTAGGAAAAAAGAACATACAAATTATCTTTACACTTTATGCTTTAAGTAAAAAAAAAAAAAAAATGCTGCCAGTCTGCCAGGGCTTCTGCCATTGTTTGACTATTGATAACGCAAAGGAAGATTCCTGATAGGAAAGGATCTGTGAGCGCAGCTACTTCGAAGTCCTGGAGTAAGAGAGCTTGTGAACAGCTCAGCACTCTCACCCATAGGGACACTCCTTCCTCCGCTAGAAGGCCACAGGAAGAATGGATAGATGGGAGGCTTACAGTGAAGCTATACCACATACGCTCTGTATGCACAGCCAACATACTCTAAAGTTAGACAATGACGTCATGAGCTACACGTTTACAGATGTAGTTGAGTACTTCAAAGTGAGAGGAATGCCAGTATGATATATATATATATATGCTACCTTTTGCCTTCTTACTACACTGATGTATTTTCTTGTTTTTGTATGTATTTGTGTGAGTATGACACTATGTACATGTGTTCATATTGGAGGAAGTGTGCTCCTGTGCATGGACACGAGGAAAAATGAGGACTCCTGCTCTACCTTGTGCCTCTGATCAGGGTCTTTTACTGAATCTGTGATACACAGATGGCCAGCAATTCCAGGGATCTTCTTGTTTCCAGCTACACAGTACTGTGGCACAGGCATGCACATGACCAAGTCCCACCTTTACCTGAGTGCTAGGATGGGAACTCAGGGTTTCAGTCTTACACAACACTTACCCTTATTCACTGAGACATCCCTCACCTGATTGCTTACTTTTTAGTATCTTTGTGCCTCACTGTTCCCAATTAGCTTTTTTATCACTCTGTTTTATTATTAGTTAACTTTTGAGACAGGGTCTCACCCTGTAAACCAGACTGGCTTCCACCTGCCTCTGCCTCCTGAGTGCAGAGATCAAAAGCATGCACCACCACACCCAGCTCTTTTCTAGTTATTCTACAGAAGAAATATGTTTATCGAGACACACCAGAGAAAATCTAAGAAAGAGCTCATGAACGCAGGATACTATAAAATGGTGGTTCTCTCCAAATGGGTCTATAAATTAAATGTATCTTATTCTCTACACCCTGTGGAATTTAACAAGCTAACTTGAAGTATGAAAAATTTATTAGCCAGAAATGGGAGAACAGGCTGGTGATTTCGGTGCTCAGCAGACAGAGGCAGATAATCAAGAATTTGAAGCTACCTGGACTACAGCAAGAGTACTTGGATTCATAACAAGGCTGTGTCAAAGAAATATTTAGGGTTTAGAGTACCAAGAGAATATAGCTAAACTATAATAAATACTGTATTTGTTTAACTCAGAAGGAATTGGTCTTCTGATTAGCCTTGCTCTGCTACTTGGTGTGTAACTTAATCTTGGGCCTCCATAGTTTCCTCAAGTGTGAAATGGGCCAAACTACATTCATTCTTCACGGTTTTTCAGACCACAGGTCTTCCATATACACATTAAACCCCACTGTGGCTAATTCTGAGCCATTCCATCTGCTTACAGCAATAACTGCTCCCTGTTATTTAAGGTATTTATTGAATTGGCAAGTAGACCACTCTTGCCAGGATTTCATGAGTGTGTGTGTGTGGGGGGGTGTTGAGTGCACAACTTGGCGTGTGTGTGTGTGTGTGTGTGTGTGTGTGTGTTTTATTTTGAGGTGGAGTCTCAACCTGCCCAACAGGCAAGTTTTTAAGTTGAACATTTTGGTGTGATTATTTTTATAAAAGATTTTTTATAATGAAACTGTAATTGCTAAGGAGGACAGGACAGCAAACAAGTGTGTTTCAAGCAGACAAGTCTTGGCCAACTAGTGTTCTTTAAAGTCAGCATCAGAAAGCTCACCTAAGCCAGGAGTGGTGGTACACACCTTTAGTACCAGCACTCAGGGAGGCAGAGGCAGTGGATCTGAGTTCGAGGCCAGCCTGGTCTACAGAGTGAGTTCCAGGACAGCCAGGGCTACACAGAGAAACCCTGTCTCAAAACAAAACAAAACAAAAACAAAAACACTAAAAAGAAAAAAAGCTGCTCACCCAGAGGGAAGGCCTTACTACACTTAGCATCAATACAGCCTAAGACTTCAGACGCAGCTTCTCTAACCTTCACAATTCACAGTACACAAAGAGCCTCACTTAATAGCTAACCTCTAGAAATCAAAGGTTACAGCTACAGTCCTGCTTAGAAGAAAAAGGAGTTCTGTGACCAAAGGAAGCACTCCCATATGTTATAATGAGGAACTTATTAGTAATCACAGAATTATCCCACTGTGCATAGGTTGGTGCTTTCCTGGCACTTAAGTCAAAGGCTAAGTCACCAGCAGTTCAAACTCAATGGAAAGAGACTCTCACCTCTGTAGATGTCTGTGGGTTCTGGAACACAGCATAAGTAATAAGTGAACTTGAACCTATAACACTGAGAGACAAAGACCATTGGCCATTACAATACAGTGGTAAGACTCGTTTTTATAATTTATTGGTGTAATTGACATAAAATATCCCGCACATTTTTAAATTTAGAGTGCTTTGTGAATTTTCACCCTTGTCTAGGGGCGTGCCAATCTTCTCAGTACCATTCCCATTTCTCTACTATGTAGCCTCTGATGTCCTAGAACCCACTGTGTTGACCAGGCTGGCCTCAAACTCAGTGACCCTCCTGCCTCACTCCCCCAAGTGCTGGGATTAGATGTGAGCCCCCATGTTCACCTTCCTCCCTGTGTTTAACAGGTGCAGTGGTGAGGTGAGTGCCCGATGCTGGTCTGTGCCAGTCCTGATGACAGGCTGCCCACTTATTTCAAATGACTGCCCTCCCTTTACTCTTATTACTCAAATTCTTGCTCCCACTGAGGGTGTAGATGTAGTGACCCATCAGAGGAGGAGGCCAGAGGTCAATGTCAGTGTCTTCCTCTATCACTTCCCACCTTAATTTTCAGACAGCTTTCCTAGCTGAACCTGGAGCCCCCAAGATCCTCGGTCTCTGCCTCCCAAGGCTGAGACAACAGGCAGGTAACAACACGGTAGACTTTTCATGTGAGTGCCGGAGATCCCAACTCAGCTTCTCATGCTTAGGAAGGAAGTACTTTATACAAGCCGTCTTCCCAGTCCCCATACCTTTTATCAGTGAAGGAATACCAACCTAGGAAAGAATTCCTAACTAAAAAGTAAAATGCAACCCTCAGGAGCAAAATGTGGAAAACTGCACAGCTCTCCAGGCTGCTCATGTAATTTCAACAGTCATGTGATACGAGACTGAACAACATACCTCAGAGTAGCTGTGGCAAATTGTATCCACTGTATCGCAGGAAAAAACTAAACAAAAGAGAGAAAAGTCAATCTCTTACATTTAATGTTCAATCTGACTTCTGTTTCGATGTTTATTAACTATCTCTTCAACACAGACCTTCAAACCCACTCCAGGTCTGGGAAGGAGTGAAACCTGAGCAGACCTGTGGGAAGGCAGGGCCCGGCTACCCTCAACCCAACTCTGTTAAAACACTCCAATTTTAGAACAAAGAGCAATGTGCGGGGACAGTGAAGGCAAGAATGGCAAGAACAAAGTAGGAGAGAGAGGAAAGGCTAATGTTTAAGGGAGACCAGACAGATGACAGAAAGAAGTCTTAACAAGGAAGAAAATGCTAAGTGAAACTGACTGACAGAAAGTTAAAAGACAGAAAAGGGGAAATAATGAAGAGGGGGAAATTATTAGCATGGAGAGAGCCACTGTGAGTAAAACCCAGAAAAGAGAAAGAGAAAAGGAACAGAAAGGGGAGGGAGAGGGGGAGGGCCACCAGCTTTTGACCTTACAGGGTCCCATCGGCTTCCCAGAGGACTAGTCTCCAGTGAGAGGGCCATAAGGACTTCAGTCCCAGCGACCCTCCGGCCCAGGCCCTCCTCAGTCAGGCTCTGAACAGGTAGCTCCACCCTTGCCTCAACTGGGCTCCACCCCATCTAACCCTGCCCTGTACCTTAGGGCAGAAGGTAGAACAAGCCAAGGAGAAGAACAAAAATAGAAACAGCAGGTGACAGAAGAAACCAAGTTGTAAGAAACATTAAAGAAAAAAAGAAACACTAGAAATTTAAGGAGCAAGAGGAGGGAAAAAAAAAAAAAGGCAGATAAAGTTGCAAAAGAGCAGTACAACAGGTAAAAAGGAAAAGAAATGGGGTAAGCAGAAGCCTGTTAAAACTTATCCCTATTTGGGGACAAAATGATGATGACACATAACAGTGAAAAGTGAAAATCAAGAAGAGAATAGGTTTTTTTTTTTTTTTTTTTTTTTTTTTGCTTTTTGAGGAATGGTTTCTCTTCATAGCCCTGGCTGTCCTGGAACTCACTATGCAGACCAGGCTGGCCTCGAACTCACAGAGATCCTCCTGCTTCTGTTTCCTGGCTGCTGGGATTAAAGGCATGCATTACTACCATTACTACCCAGTGAGAGAAGAGGTTATTAATGTGTGTTATATTCAATATTAACATACTAAATACTATCTTATATTATGCCATTTACTCAGCACACTTAAGTGTAATCAATTTTGTATAAATCAATGTATTATGGGAGACACAAAGATAAACAAAATCTAGATGAAGCCTTCCATGAGCTTAAAACACAATGGTTTAAGCACCAAGAAACAATCTGACCAGTGCAATGATGTACAGAACAGCATGTGGACAGTGTTGGGGGAGTCTGACAGAGCCTGAGGGAGAGGAAACACAAGAACTCTCAGTGCTTTAACCATACTTTCATATGTTCAACAAACACCTCTCTTGTGTCTAAGTGCTGGGGACTGTGCTCGGAGCCTGCCAAATGTCACACGTGCATGCTGACCACTGAGCATTGTCTCACCTCTTCAATATTTTAACAAACACTTGCATGACTGAAATGATTTAAATGCATGGTTCATATCAGACTGAAAGTACGGTCTAGCATGGAAGATCAGACATTGTCAGGAGGAAGATTTCATTCAGTATTGTATCTTAAACAAGTAATTAAAGTTCTGGGAGACATCTGCACTAAAAATTGAGCCCTGGGAAAATCTGGAGGTCTCTAATCATGTCTACCCACTGAAGGTGTGGAGACTACCGACAGTGTCACTGGATGATAAGAAAATGCTCTTGGACAAAAGACTCTTCTGTTTCTCAAGACAAATCTCAGATTGTTCAGAGAACTTTTCCCTTTGGCACATTGCTAAAGTGTCTATGCCACTTTCCTGCACAAATGCATGTGTGCCTGTATGTGCATACACATACATATATGTGTGTGCACATGTGTGTCCGTGTGCATGCTTGTATGTACCTGTATGTGCCTGTGCACACCTTAATGTACATATATACTTTCCCTTTGGAAACAGAACTCTGCCTTCTTCTGCTACAAGGTCAACCCAAACTCAATGACATCAGTCATATTCAGCTTTTGCTCCTGTGTTTAACCTGTGCTGTTGATCTGTGTGTATCTTGGAGCTTGTGCATGCCAGACAGCTGCCCCACCCCAGTCCCATTCTTTTTTTCTAAAAAGCTCTATCACAAGTTCAGATGCATGCACCTTCAATGACCATGATGGATGGACACAGCATGTAACAATATAGATCTACATAACAGGAATTCATTCAACTTCTAAAATGTGTATATGTTGTTTTGGTATTTCTGTTCTTGTTTTGAAATAGGATCTCACTGTGACTGCAGCCCTATCTAGCCTGAAAGTGCTATGTAGCCTAGGATGGCCTTGAATTTGTAACAATCCTGCCTTTGCTTCTGTCTCTGTCTCTGCCTTCAGAGTACTAAAATGACAAACATGAGCCACAATACCCAGGCTGAAGGCTGTAGAGTGGTGGTAATAACAAGCTTTTAAGTGGTTTCTATGTATAAAGATCTATGTGGTAGTATTTTGAATGTAGTTGACCCCCATAATCTCATAGGGTGCAGAGTGTGGTGGTTTGGAAGAAAATTGCTGCCAAAGGGAATGGCACTATTAGGAGGTGTGGCCTCCTAATAGGTATGCCACTGTGGGAGTAGGCTTTGAGTTCTATGTTCAAGCTACTCCCAGTGTCACAGATCACGTCCTGTTGCCTTCTCAGCAAGACGTAGCCAGCACCATGTCTGCCTACACGGCCCCATGATGATAATGAACTAAACCTCTGAAACTGCAAGTGACCACCTCAATGAAATGTTTTCTTTATAGGAGTTGCAGTGGTCCTAGTGTCAGTTCACAGGAATAGAAACCCTAAGACACATGCTAACATTTTAGTCCTTTCCACAAGTCCTTTTTTTCAAGACAGGATTTCTTTGTGTAGCCCTGGATGTCCTGGAACTCTCTCTGTAGATAAGGCTGGCCTTGAGCTCACAGAGATCTGCCTCTGCTGGGATTAAAAGCATGCATAACCACCACCCAGGGAGGTATTTAAAAAGTTACACCAGGCTATTATGTTCTCTTTGGACAGAATGATATTGAGTGTATTTGGGATTTGGACAGAGTAACTGGTAAGAAATTTCATGATATAAAAATAACAAACTTTGCACCAGGAGATGGTGGCACACACCTTTAATCCCAGCACTTGGGAGGCAGAGACAGGCAGATCTCAGTGAGTTCAAGGACAGCCTGGTTTACAAAGTGAGTTCTAAGATAGCCAGGATTGTTACCCAGAGAAACTCTGTCTCAAAACAAACAAACAATTGCCAGGCATGGTTGCATACACCTTAAAAATAGTACTCAAGGGACAGAGGTGGGCAGATCCCTGAGTTTGAAGCTAGCCTGGTCTACACAGTGAGTTCCAGGATAGCCAGGGTAAGATCCTGTCTCAAAACAAAACACCCACAACACCTTAGACTTAGTATTATAATTTCTTGCACAAATAATCTCTAGCCACCACCTATATCTATCTATGTGTTTCAGTAACATAGGTGAGAAGCCAAATTCTTCAGCCATCTCCCTTCCACAGGCTCAAGCAGGCTTGTTTCCAAGAGCCTGTACATGGCCTCTGCCACTGGTAAAAACTAGGTATAATCTGTTTATTCCCTTGACACAACATAAATATCAGTCTGGTTTCCCAACAGGACTCACATAATTTGGCCAGGACATGCTTTATGGTTCCTGTAGCCTTCAATGGAGTCACAGGAATCTTTACAGCATGGGGATTCTGAGTTCAACTGACCTGTGGGCAAAACTGTAAGGTATCTGTGTGCATTTTTTGCTGCCTGGTTCTGAATCTGTATGAATGAGAACAGGACTCTGGTCCCCACCAGTGGAAATGTCATTCTGCACCAGGACCCTTCCCCCAGTGGCACCTCAACTAATAGACTCCTCCAAAAAAAAAAGAAAAAAAAAAAAAAACACCTCGGTCTTAGTTAGGGTTTCTATTGTCATAATGGTGGGAAGCATGACAGCACTCTGGCAATAAGGTGCTGGAAAGGTAGCTGAGAGTTCTACATTTGGATCCAAATGCATCAGAGATAGACTGGTACACATTTCTTCCAACACCACCACACTCTATGACCCTATGGGGAACATTTATTCAAACCACCACAACCATAAGCAACAACAAAAAACCAAACATTAGCAATGATTGCAATTATTCCCATTTCAAACTCATTCATTTACACAGACACATAGCTACTAGGAAAATCAGTGGAACAAACACTACAAATCCAAAAACTTCAGCAGAACCACACAAATGTATCCACAACCTCCTAGAAGATAAAACCTTACATCACTAAGGCAATCTACCCTTTGCATTTAGACTTAGTAGTGTAGTATACTCTAGCATGCCTCCCCCTTTTAACCTCCATGGAATAGTCAGAGTGAGCCTTTAGATTTTTCACATAAAGTGACCACTCAAAGCAATTAAAGCAATTACTTTTGCAAAGCAATTCACAGTAGAGGTGTCAGTATACTATCCCCAACTAATCCACTCCCTTCACTTCTTCCAAAACATAATTCTACCTGGGTGTAGTGGTACATATCTCTATCTCAGAACTTGAGAGAAAAAGGAAGGCAGATCTCTGGGTTCTCTATGAGTCTGAAGCCAGCCAGGTCTACATAGTGAGTTCCAGAATATTCAAAGCTACATGATAAAAATCTATATCACCAAAAACAAAACAAAAAGTCTACTTCTAGAGCAGAGGAGAAGGCTTAGTAGGTAAAGAGTGTGCTGCACAATCCTAATAACCAAGGTTCATATTCCCAGAATCCACCTAAATGCCAGGTGTGCATTGCCAGGTGTGCAATGGCAGTCTGCCTGTAGTTTCAGCAGATGGACATGGGAATCCTCAGAGCAAGTTGGTTAGCAAGATTGGCCATATCATCGAGCTCTAGGTTTGAATGAGATTTTTGCTTCATTGAATATGACAGAATGACTGCTGATGTCAAACTCAAGCCTCCACATGCACACCCCAATACCCACACACAAATATGCATACACACAAGCACATCTCTCTCATACACACACTTATGAAAATGAAAAACGTTAAACCTACTTCTGTATTAACCACAACCAGAAAAGCATTCCTAGATACCCATTCTAACAGGGTGTACCCAGAGTATTCATATACTCAGAAATGAGCAATGTCAAAAATTTCTATGTTTTATAAAGAGTTTTCAATGGTTTTTTTCCTTTGGGAGAGGGTGTTCAAAGCAGGATTTCTCTATGTAGCTCTGGAACTTGCCTGAAGACCAGGATGGCCTCAGAGATCCACCTGTCTCTGCCTCCTAAGGGCTAGGACTAAAGACATGCCACCTCCTGGCTCTTTTTTTTTTTTTTTTTTTCTTCAGCTGAGACAGCAAGAGAGGTTTACTGGCAACTGTGAACTAGTGAGGACAGAGAGTTCAGAATGTTATAGGTCCAGGACAGAGGGTCAGCGGAACTGTTTTGGTTGTAATGAAAGCAGTCAAGGCTCTCAAGTGGTCCCTGTAAGCAGATGGTGCTGTTGTAGGTCCACTGAGACTTACACTGATAACAGCACAGTCCAACAACTT